CCGCTTGGAGAGAGAAGAAAGTGGAGACATGAAACGGGGAGAGCAGATGAAAGGGGCGCGGGGAGATGAAAATCCAAACTGGCTGCTTAATTGCTCCGGGGCTGCGGTGGAGGTGGAGAGCTTCAGCCAGCCCGTGAGGGACCTCCGTGCCGTCCCCACGCTGTCCCCTCCACTGGAGGAGGGGCAGAGCACAGCGGCCCCATCCAGATTTGGGAGCAGGGCTGTGTTCACAGGCTCCGGCCTGACACGCTGTGGGGATGGGGTTGCAGGTGAGGCCGTGTGATCTCTCCAGGCACCAGAGCCGGGCGCCGTGCTGCCCAACGGAGCCCCTTCTTCTTACAGTTCCAGCCTTCCCCTCCATCCTGCAGCAGGAGGGCAGCAGATGGGGACAGTGCCCGGAGCTGTGGCATCGGCTGGAGGTGGGTGACGTGACACGGCCGGAGGTGACGGGAGAGGACCTGTGGGTGTTTGGGGGAAGACGGTCTGCCGCGAGGGCACCGCGCTGGGACACGGGGGGTCCTGGCCCCTCGCCGTGGGGCTGAGCGCAGCAGGGCTGATTCAGCGTCTCCCCGCGAGGCGCGGCGGGGGGGCTGTGCTGCCAGATGGAGCCGGCTCCGTGCTGCAATATTTCTGGGAGGTGAAGGCTGCGAGAGATGGATGCGAGCCGCGCGGCCACCGCCGGGGATGTGGCAGCACGGGAAAGAGCGGCAGGAGTCAAGCGTGCCTCTGTCACCGTCCCCATCCCTGTCCCCGTCCCCGCGGCCTCTGGGGATGATCAGCCTCAGGCCCCCGGATCAGCTCTGCCTCGTGGGACCCCTCCACGTGTGTGTTGGAGTCGGTGGTGAGCGGGTCCCCATCTGTGGGGCAGCGGCATCTCTGGGGATGGGGCCGTGGGGGCCAGGCCTGTGCCTGTCTGCGGTGGAACAGCGGCGACCTGGGTTGGACAGAGAACCCCGGGGGGAGGAAGCGTGTGGCAGAGGGAAACTGAGGCACAGGGGGAAGAAAGGGGTGGCCCTGAAGGGAGATGGGTCTGGACTCTGCCAGGAGCTGGGGGCCGCGTGTGAATTCCATTTCTTTTGCAGGAGGAGGACGGAGAGGGGTTGTGACCGACCGCAGGGCTCTGGACAGGATGCTGTCCCCTCTGCTGTCCCCTCCTGCCCGCTGTGATTCACACCAGCCATGGACTCGGTTTTATGGCATGAGGTGTTCATTGGGTGCACGACGACCTGGGAATTGTTTGGTGGGAAAGTGCTGGAGCTGCAACCGTGCAGAGCTGGGGGCCTTCAGCGGGGGGGGGGGGGAAGATGAGCGTCCTGGGTCACATGTGCCCTTCATCAGCCACCACCAGGCAGGACGTGAGGCACTTCTGCGTCACCTGCGAGGTAGGTGAAAAGGCTGCCCTGTGCAGGCCACAGTGTGTCGTGATGTCACGACAGCCGGGCTACGACGTCACGATGGCCGAGCTGTGACATCAAAATGACTGGGCTACGGCTTCACTTCAACTGCGTTGTGACGTCACAATGGTGGGGCTGTGACGTCACAATGGCGGGGCTGTGACATCACAATGGCAGGGCTGTGACGTCACAATGGCGGGGCTGTGACCTCACAATGATGGGGCTGTGACCTCACAATGATGGGGCCGTGACGTCACAATGGTGGGGCTGTGATGTCACAATGGCAGGGGTGGGAGCGCAGCAGTGCCACCGGCGCGGGCACAGCCACGTGTGGGTGATAAAGCGCTGCTGGCAGATGGCGTTTGCTGGGGGGGGCGGCTGCGGGGGGGGGGGGGGGGGCACGTGGTGCACGGATGCTGCCTGTAACTGTGCACCCCCACAGGAGCCCCCCCCCCAGCCAGCACAGAGGTGCTCACCTCCCTCCAATGTCCCAATGATGGTGGGGAGGTGGCTGTGCTGGCTCTGACAATGGGTTGCAGTGGGGCAGGGGGCGCAGGCACACTGAGGAGGAGGAGCGGGGTGGCATCAGGAACAAAGGAGATGGTGCCCAGTAGTAGATTTGGGGCTGGGGGTGCCTGGCCTCTGCCCTGCTGGAGTCTTGAGCCAACAGCCCGTGGAAGGGATCCAGCCCTATGCTATCATTGTGGGGTTTGGCTCTCCTCACTCATCCCAGGGCCATCTGGGGTCTCCTCACTTCATTCAGCTTTTACTCCTCATCCTTGGATGCTTCAGGGGCGACTTGGGGGCCGTTTCTGGGTGCTCCAGGTACCGCCATCCCTCCTCCTGCCGCTTCGGGGACCACCATCCCAGGGCACCTCGGGGACCCCCGTATGGAGGAGCATTGGATCCCCCATCCCAAAACCCCGTGCCATTCGGCAGGGAGCAGATTTGGGGAAGTTGAAGGGGGGGGGGGGGAGGTTGGGGAGGGGGTGTAAATCTCCATGGCGACACGGTGACGACAGTCGCCATGGCGAGGCTGCGTGGCCCTGCCCGTTGCCATGGCGACGCGCCTGGCACGACGAGTCGCCATGGAGATGGCCGATGGATGGAGCGGTCCCCACGGCGGGGCCCAGGGCCGGGATGGGGCCGTGGGTCGGGGGACCGAAGCCCCGCCGTGGGGCCACGTGGGGCCGCGTGCCCTCCCGGTGCGCGTGGGGCCGGGGCCGTGTGCCGCCGCGTGCCGCCGCCGCCCGGGTTCATTTGCACGAGGCTTTTCCACTCCAGTTCACACTACCATCTGACAAGCCCAACTTCTCATTTTCAGAGTAATCACTCCACTGCACTAATTGCACATGCAAATATGCAAATTCGTATTAATTAATTACTATACTAATTAGTTCTGTGGTATTTGCGAGTAATAAATCATTCGGAGGGAGCGGGAAGCTGGAGACCTGGCCCATTTACACTTCGCATAAAATTTTAATAGGCGCTCCGGCTGATCCGGGACAGCCGCGCCGCGCCGTGCTTAAAGGGCCAGAGCCGGGCTGGCATCGACTGCCCGCAGCCCCCGGTCCTGCTGAGGGGATGGGCAAGGAGGGGGAGGAGAGGGAGCGGCAAGCAAGGGGGGCACAGCGGGCGAGGAGGTGTGAAGGGATCGGGGAAACTGAGGCAGGCGGTGGGGAGGATGGGCGCTGGGCGCGGGGCTGCTCCATTCTACCGCCCCGCTGTGGGGGGGGGGGGGGGGGGGGGGGACGGGGGTCCGGCCGCTGCCCCCTCCCGACCCGCAGCTTCTGCCCGTGCTCCCCCTGCTGCCGAGCAGCCGCTCCCTGCCGCCACCTTTGGGGATTTTGCAAGCCTTTAATTGTCGTAAGCACAGATTAATTAAGCAGCGATAAACACAAACCCATGCATTATTGATGAATAAGGGTGAGTTCAGGTTGGTGCAAACGTTGTAATTAAATATAAACCTCAAGCTGCCCATTGTTAACTTACAAATTACATTACTATTGCGACATGTGTCGGGGCTCACACGGATGCGAGGGGGATCACACCCGGCACGGAGACCCCCATCACCCCACACCATCGCCCCCCACCCACCCAGCCCTGCTCCAGCCCCGACCCACTCGGCACCAGGAGGGCTCCATCCGCCCCAGCGCCGTCCTGCAGCTCCCACTGAGCTGCCAGAAGGGCCCAGAGTGCAGCGTGACGTCCTGCTGCAGGGACACGGCATGCACAGGACCCTGCACACGCATGTGCACATCCCCATGCACACACACATCCCATGCACACACACATCCCGTGCACACACACATCTCATGCACACACACATCCCGTGTGCACATCTGGTGCGTACAATTCTGCACATCCCATGCACACACACACCCCCCATGCACACATTCAACACATGCACACACGTGTGCACATCCCTGCACACACACACGTGTGCACCCCACATACACACACACACAGCAGCTCCCACTCCACCACAATGCCACCCCCCACCCACAGGGGCTCACCTTCCCACAGCCCCACATCCTCACACGGGAGCAATGGCTGCAGCCTGCACTGACCGCCCCCCTTCACGGCTGCCCATCACAGGGTCTCCACGACCCCCACCTGCTGCCCCCTCCCCCTTCCCCATGCATTCCTCTGTCTGGATTTGCACTGAAACCCCCTCACCCAGGACCCCTCCTTGACACAGAGGTGCCACCCTCATGGCAGGGTCCACATCTCCCCATCCCTTCCATCGTGGTCACCCCCATCCCCACATGCATCCAGGCCACCCTCATCCCACAGGGACCCTGGGGGCACTCTGTGCTGGGGACAAATCACAACAATGGTGGGGGGGCTGGGGGGGGGGGGGGGGGGGGGGGGGGGAGAGCTCGCGAGATGTGCGCGCCCGGCTGCTCCCAGAGTGCCCCTCTGTGGGGCGGCGGGGTAGCGGGGCTGGCAGCTGTTAGCTATTTATTAACCAGTCATGGTTAAATTGGTTTATAAATTAACAGATGTTTTAACTTTATTCTTTCTTCTGGGAATGGAAGCAGCAAACTGGTCCGTGTTTGGCGGCTGGGCTCGGCGTGGGTCGCCCACCCTTTCCGGGAGGGTCCTTATAGGGTGGGGGGGAATGGGGAGGATGGCCCCCAGCCCAGCAGGGCCCCTCATTCCAGCAGTACACAGCGGTGGTGATGGCAGTGGGGTGGGCATGGGGCAGTGGGTACGCGGGGTCGCCTCCCCCGGCAGCACCTGGGGCTTTTGGAGGACGTGCTGCAGGCGGGGAAACTGAGGCAGGGCCGGGGGTGCCCCACGGTTTTCTCTCATTGCTGCCCCCTGGGAGCCGGGTTTTGGGGTCCCCACCCATTTAACCTCGCAGCCTCCAGGGCAGGATGAGCCCGGCTCCGCGTGCCCGGTGCGGTGCGTCCTCCACGGTGCTGACCCGATGCCCGCAGCCCCCGGGAGGACCAGGAGAGCCGCTCCGGTGCCTTTTCGCTTCCCCACCCCCGGGCCCCGCCGTGCCACCGCGCCGGGGCTGACACCTGCCGGCCGAGCGCAGCAGCGCCGGTGGCACCGGGACACGGGAACGGGGCTCCTGCCCACCTCCTGGCGACACGGCGTTGGGAGCCCCCGACGTGCAGGGACCGGGGTCGTGCCCTTCTTCTCCATTCCCCCCACCCGGCGTCCTGATGGGGACATGGGGACGCGACCCCGCCCCGCGCCTTCCCTGGAGCCCCCTGGGTTTGAAGGGAAATGGGTGAGAGCCCCCAGCCCTTGAGGGCAAAGCCCCCCGTGGTGTATGGGGCGGGAGGGGGTGGGCGGGTTGCAGCTCCACCGTCCTTCCAGCGCTGCTCTGTGCCTCAGTTTCCCCACAGCACACGGAGGGATGCTGGGGTGTGAGGAGGGCGCGACTCCCAGTGCAGCACCATTTAGGGGGAAGGAATGGGCAGCAGACCCCGACCCCTCTTTCTCCCTGTGGCTTCTCCCGGAGGGCGGCTCCCAGCACAAAAGGGGTTAAGGCCCCCTCGACCCCCCCCCCCCCCCCTCCCCCTCCCCACTGCTCCCCCGCGCGCTCCCACGCGTGTTCCCACTCCCGCACCTCCTCTGCACCCCAGGGAGCGCTCGGCCCCCGCCCGCCGCCCCCGCTGCACTTTGCGGGGATGGTGAGGGGGTTGGGAGGAAAAGTAGGAGGGGGGCGGACCCCAAAAGTGCCCCCCCCCCAAAACCCCACTTTCTGCAGGACCCCCAACAGCCCGGGCAGGGAGGATTGCCATGGATGGAACAAAAGGGTTCCCCGGGATGGGGGGCACGGGGGGCACGGAGGCACCCACTGACCCCCCCCCAAACCCCGCCCCATCCTTGGCCCCGCCCACACCGCTGCCCAGCCCCCTCCCACCCGGCACTCACCTTTCGGACCGAGTCCTGCCATCCTCCTGTGCACCTCCCACGTGCGCGGCCCCGCCATGCTCCATCCTCGCTCTGACCTGTCCCCACGATTCCCCGTCCCCAGGATGCTACGTCCCCACCGTGTTCCAGCCCTACGCATCCCCACCCCACAACACCGCACCCCTCCCGCACCCTGTCCCTGCAGCGCCCCATTCCCCCATAGGATCCCACCACCACCCCGCGTCCCCACATCTCTCCATCCCCACAGTGCCCGTCCCTGTGGCCGCGCTGTCCCCATAGTGGCACCGAAGCTCCCATTCCTCCCAGTGCTGGCAGGTGGGGGGTGAGCGCTGCCTCCCGCACCCTGCTGCTATTTTTACTTTCTCTGCAGGAGGATTTGCTGCTGCACGGAGCTGCAGCCCCCACGGCACGGCACGGCATGGCACGGCACGGCACGGCACGGCACGGCACTGCTCCGGAGCAGCCAAGGGTGCTGCAGGGCTCAGCCAATATTGACACCACAAAGAACAGGTCCACACCATTGCCATTTTGCAGTGTGGCTGTACGTAGAAGCATGCAATGGGGCAGTGGCTGCAGCGCCACGTTCCAACCCCATCGCTGTGACCCGGTACCCGTCCCAGCTGTGCCCACAGCGACAGAATGGCAGCAGGTGGGGGCCGCTCCCAGAGCTGTTATTGGGGCTGTGGGTGCTCGCAGTGCTGCAGAGCGGGGAGGGGACCCGGCCACCCCCTCACACTGCGCCTTCGTGCGCGGGAGGAGAGGGAACGGCAGCGGGAAGGAGCCCGGGAACCTGTTGTTGCCATAACAACCACGGGTCCCACACTGGGGAGCAGGATGGGGACAGGGAGGATGCTCAGGGTTTGGCACAGGGTGGCCAAGGGATCCCGGCTTAACCCCCCCCCTCAGTACAGCACCCCCCGGGGCTGTGCCCGTGTCGGCAGCCCGTAGCTGCTCTTGCACCGGGCCGCACGTGGTGCGCATGAGGCCGCGCTGTGCCGCGCAGTGCCGGGCGGCTGTTCCATGGCCCCGTGCCACAGGGGTAAATATGTTGCTGGAGCCACAGCTCCTGGCCCGCAGCCACTCGTGGCCGTTGGAACACCGGGAGATAAGAAGGCAGAGCCCGGCACCCCCCCCCTCCCCCCTTTCCTTGCTTCGGTTTCCTCCACGCACTCGGCACCGCCCGGCCCTTCTGTCCCGTGTGTGACATCCAGCCGGCACCGGCCGTTTCCACACGGGGCTGGGAGCGCAGCGCGGCTCGTGTAGCATCGTGCAAGGAGCACGGGAAGGGCGGGGACACGGCTGGGGGCTGGAGCCGAGCCAGGGGTGGATGCGTCCCCGAGCCCGTGCCCCGACCAAAGTCACCTGGATTTTATGAGCGGTGGAACCGCAGATAAGTGGCTTTGGAGTCTTCTGTTCTTCCAGGAGAGGAGTTTGGGTTTGGGGGAATTTTCCATGGAGAAAACCACAGAGATCCAGAGCTGTGATCCTGTGACAGCACCGTGTTCTGGTTCTGCGACATCCCTGGTCCACGGCTCGTGGTGGTGGGGACCCTCAGCACACAGGCAATGGGACATTTCAGGATGCTGTGTCCTCATGCGCCCACGGGATCCACCCCCACAGATGCTCCCTATGGGGCTGACCACGTCCTCCAGGCAGACCCTGTCCCATAGTAGGAGTCCCCGTGCCATGGGGCAGCCCCCAAAGCTGCACCCCTCAGTGTTCCACCCAGCCAGGCTGCCCACTCTGCCCTCCAGTTTGCAGAGAAACTGAAGCTCCAGGCGCTTGGATGCCCACAGCCACACACAGCCCTGTCCCGTTCCACGCAGCCACTGCGGTCGCCCCCCCCCCCCCCGGTGGGGAACGGGTTAAGGGGCCCGGCAGGCTCGAGCCCCCCTCCCTGGCTCCCCGAGGGCTCATTATCCATGGCCTCAGCCCCCCTGCCCGGGGGATGAATAATGCAGCGCGCTGGTAGGAGCCGTGTCCTCCCTCCCTCTCCTTCCTCCTCCTCCTCCTCCTCCTCGCGGCTCTGCCTTCTCCACCTCCCGCCGCTCAGTCCTCACCGTGCTCAGCCCGGGCGCTGCCGAACTCCGTGTGGCACCGGGCAGCAGCGCAGACCCTGCAGCCATGGACCCCAAGGACCGCAAAAAGATCCAATTCTCGGTGCCGGCACCCCCCAGCCAGCTGGACCCCCGCGCCGTGGAGATGGTGAGCGCAGGGTGACAGCGGGGTCACAAAGGGGTCCCCAGCATGGCACCGTGTTCCTGCTGACCCCGGGTAGTGAGGGACCGTGGGGTGGGGGTGGTGAGAGTGCCAGTGGTGTCCCATGGGTGCCCCGAGGTGGAGGAGAGCTGTGCAGGGGACAGGACGGGGACAGCGTGGGACGGGAGGGAAGGGATGGGACAGGGAGAGAGGGACGTGGAGGACTGGGGGGATAGAATGAGGGATGGAGGAGACCAGAGGGAGGGGATGGGGGTACAGAGAGGAAGGGACAGGGTAGGGGATGGGACAGGGAGACACAGGGACAGGACAAAGTGCTCCGAGGTTCTGTGCCAGCAGCGGATTTGTGCAGGAGTTGTGTGTGGGGATAGGGCAGGACAGGAATGGGACAGAAGGGAATGGCTGGGACAGAGCAGGCAGGAATGGACAAGAACAGGATGGGACAAGACAAGGGACTGTGCAGGCTGTGCCCAGATGAGGGAACACCCCCAGGACTTGGCTCCTGTGCACCCTGGACCCACGGCTGTGTGGGGCTGGGGGCTGTGAGGGGCTGGGAGAGGTAGAGGACAGCACAGGGACCCTGAGATGGGGACACGGCCCCTCCGTGGGGCACTGCACCTGTCCCCAGCCCTGTCCTACTGAGCAGCCCATGGGATGGGGACACGATGGGGCTCAGGCCTGGGGCACTGGGTTGGGGACAGGGGACTGAGTGACATTGCTGTGCCTCAGATCCGCCGGCGGAGGCCCACGCCTGCCATGCTGTTCCAGCTCTCCGAGCACTCATCCCCAGGTGAGCCAGGACACGGACTGGTACCAGGTTGGGGATGGGAGGGGACATCGGGTGGCCCTGGGGGTAGAGGCAGCTGCTCAAGGGATGGGAGGTGTGGGCTGGGATGGGACAAAGCAGCTGGAATGTGACAGGGTGCCACAGGTGGGGTGGCAGGAATGGGACGTGGGGGTGGAGGTGGGACAGGTGTCTGTGCATGGGATGTTGTGGCAGGAATGGGACACGATGGCAGGGATGGGACCTCAGTGGCAAGGATGGGATGTGGTGCCACATCTGCTATGGGATGTCAGGGATGAGACACGGTGACGGGGGGGTGGGGGGCAGCTGGGGGTCACACACGGGATGGGGGGGCAGGGACAGGGCAGGGGCTGCAGCTCCAGCACCCGTCCTACCCACCCATTCTCTCCTGGCGCTGCGGATGTAGAGGACGAGTCCCTGCCCTACCAGGTGAGTGGGTTCCGTGCACCTCTGTCCCTACAACAGCTCCCAGCCCATCCCTGAGCCCCCCGGGCGCGCCCCGGCCCCCCCCCCCCCCCATAGCACAGTCACCACAGCGTTATCGTGGTGCTGCAGCCCTGCCCCGTCCCAGTGCTTATCGCTTCCCTGCCTTCTGCTGGCCCTGGGGACGGATGCACGGCGCCGCGGGGACGGGGACATGAGAACGGGGACTGGGGTCAGGCTGTGGAGCTCAGGTCCTCACCACCGACCCCCCGGTCTCCAGTGCAGTGCTCCCATCACAGGGACGCTACGTTGGGGGTCTCCGTTACAGAGGTCTCCCTATGGGGGCTCAACATCAGGTCCCCGTTGCAGGGTGTCCTTAAAGGGTCCCAATCTCAGGGGTCTCATCCCACAGTCCCCATTGTGGGACACTCACCAAAGTGCCACAGTCCCGGGGGGCTCCTCCCTAGATCCCCACAGTAAGATCCCCATCGTGACACCTCGTCCTTGTGGGGTCACTGGTGTCCCCGATGCGGGAGTGGCTGTGTTCCTGTCCCCAATGCTGCCTGGTTGCTCTGTCCTGCAGCGAGCCTCCGGCGAGGGCTGCCTGCTGAAACCAAAGAGGACCAACCCGTGTGCCTACACACCACCCTCGCTCAAAGGTACCGTCCCCAAAGGCCAGGTCCTCCCCAGGGGACTTTTTGGGCAGCTCCCGGAGCTGGCTGAGCCCCCAAGCTGCTGTTATCTGGATGGGGAAATGGAGGGAAGGAGGGCATGTGGGGTGGGTGCAGAGCAGTGGGCTGGGGGACCTGGGCACGCCACACCCCCGTGCCTCTCCCAGTGCTTCCCAGTGCTTCCCAGTGCTCCCAGTGCCAGAGCGGGGGCTGATGCCGGTGCCCCACAGCGGTGCAGCGCATCGTGCAGTCCCACCTGGAGAGCGGCCTGGCTGGAGGGGACAGCTCTGATGGAGAGCCCGATGATGGGGACCCTGAGCTGATCCGCACCTGCGACCCAGACAGCGCCCTTGAGCCTGGTAAGAGGGATGGTGACATGGGGACAAAGGCTGCAGCAGCCTGGGGGACGTCAGGACGTGGGACTGAGTGCTGGCAGCTGCCCTGGCGGAACATGGCTGCAGTGTCCCCTGCCATGTCCCGGAGCCATGCTGATGCCAGCCGGTTCCTCTGGCCCTGTTGTCTCTCGGGGGGGGGGAGGCATGCCTCCTCTGCCCCGGCTCATCTCTGCCCTTCTAAGAAGCCCTGGGGAGCCAGGCCAGAGCCGAGCGGAGCGTCTTCCCTGCCACCAAGGCACACAAGAGGAAAGGTAATGGGGACAGCACAGGGAGGGGAACAGAGGGGTTGGGAACACTGTGGAGACTGGAGTGGGAATGGGCCAGGGATGGTTCCACTCTGTTTGTTACACTGCATGGATGGGGACTCTGAGGATGGGGATATTGCTGGGATGGGGCCAGGGAAATTGCAAGGTTGGGGACACTGTGGTGATGGGATCCCTCTGAGGACGAGGTGATGGATGGGGCCACCTCAGGAACCCTGTGGGGAGAATGACACTGGAGATGGAGACTTTGTGGGAATGGAAACAGGGATGGGGCCACCGTGGGGATGGGGACACTGTGGGGGTTCAGGACTGCTGCCATTCCCATGACCCTGATGCAGGCAGCACAGTGGCCGCCCCATCCCATGGTTGGCCACTGTCTCTCCCTCATCCCCCAGGGGGGCAGAAGGTGTCCTTTGCGGGAGGCATCGCTGAGCGCAGTGAGGACCTGAAGGCGCTGACGGTGTCCGACATCCCCGAAGACCCCGAGGACCCCGAGGGGGGCGAAGGCGACGAGGAGGAGCCGGAGGACGGCAGCGGTACGGGGTGCGGGGGATCCCTGCTCCCTTAGATGGCAGCAGGACCCCCGCCTGACCCCGTCGTCACCGCAGAGCACAGCGAGGAGCGGCGGCACGTGGGCCTGACAGGCACGGAGCGCCGCCGTTCCCCAGTCCCGCTGGGCAACAGCTAGCCGGACCGCGGCCCGGCCGGGACCCCCACGGCCTGCCCCGCATCACCGCAGCTTCGCTCGCAGCCCCCGGCCCCGCTCGGAGCCTGCGCTTCGCGCGTGCCCCCGCATGGCTCCCGGCCCGGTTGGCGGGACCGCGGCCCCACACCGCTTCCACACCGTGGGGGCCGGCGGTGAGGCTGGGGTCCCAAGGCCGGGGCCCGCCCCGCGCCCCCTGCATGCAGCAACGCCCGAGCTGCGCCCCAATAAACGGCTGTACAGAGCGGTGTGCCCGTGCTCGGGGGGCAGCGGGGAGCTGAGGGGCGGCTGAGGGCGGGAACCGTGAGGCAGCGCCGCGATGGGCTCTGCGTGCTCCCCGCGCACACAGCGGGATGGAGCCGCTCAGCCCCGCGGAGCCGCTCCCTGTGCCGCTTCTCCTGCCGGCTCGGCTCTGCTCCGCTCCCCACGCCCCCGCAGTCCGCCATGACCGGCGCCGGCGCAGCTCGGAGTTTTACTTCCGGGGTCAGAGGTGGCGGCGGGGCCGGAAGTGGCTTGCTCTGGGGGAGTACTTCCGGCGAGGCCTGGAAGCGGTGGCGGCTGTCGGCTGTCGGCAGGTACCGGGCGGTCCGGGACGAGGTTGGTACCAGGAGCTCGGCGGAGCGGAGCCGTCCTGGGGGCGGGTTCGGGGCCGGAGCAGAGCGCCGGGGCCTTCGCTGCGGGGCGGCTGCGGGGCTCCCGTTCCTGGGTCTCCGGGACCGCCTGGACGTTCCTTGCCTTGCCTCCGCGGTGCTGCGCAGCGCCGCCTCCCGAGGCGGCAGCGGGGCCGTCCCGGTGGGTGCTGCTGCCCCACGGCGTTTTGCTGCCGGGCCCCCGAGGCCTTCACCGACATCCCGGAGCCGCCCCAGGCCCCGGTACCGGCTGCGGGCTGGCCGTGGCGGTGCGGTGGGAGCTCAGCTCCTTTCCCACGGGATCCCCGTAGCGCCGGGCCGGGATTGGGGGAGCTCCGCTCACAAAGCGGTGATTTGAAAGCTCGGGGCTGCGGGGCCGCGATCTGCCTGTGCTGCCCCTCAGGAAGCAGCTGTGGTACCGGTAACTGCCCGGCGCCGTGCCCTGTGGTGCCTGGGCTGGGCAGCAGCTGCTGCCCCTTGTCACGTGCTGCCACCCGGCAGCTTCTGAGGTCACTCACTGGACCCATGGAGAAGTTTTATTTCTGCTCTTTGTGCAAAACCTGTGGGCTTTCTCGTTTCTGCATTGTGATCCTGAGCCTCTGATGGGCCTTACTGAAACCAGAGGCTAATTGCACAGCGATCACGCTGGCCCCCAGGCTCTGCATGAGGAAAGCTGCCAGCTTGGGGGTGGGATCTTGAGCTGCTCTTGAGGACCGGAGCTCTCCCTGATATTCCTTATGCAGGCTGCACTGAGCTTGTGTGTGCAGAGGAGGGGAGGCCCTGGGGCCGGTGCAGCTGGCAGGGGGATGCAGACCTTGCGAGGTCTTACTGTGCTTTGAGAGCCCTGTTCACAAACAGAGCAGCTGAGCTGGGGCTGCAGGGGATGGCGTGGGGCTGACCGGGTGAGGGACAGCACAGCACAGGGAGTGTGGGCAGCTCACAGAAGGGCACTTGTTGTCAGTGCATCTCTTCCCTTTGGGCACTCAGACACGTGTCAGCAGCTGGTGAAACACCTGGTGGCTTTAAAGCAGCCCTCCCGCACTTTCCAGGTATCTCATCTTCAGTGCAGAGTTTGGTGCAAAGGCTGTCACTATCAAAAGAGGTGACATGAGAATTAGCTGTTGAAGTCGTCATGTGAGCTGAGAAAAGCACATTAATAGGAAGTTGGGGGCGCGGGAGGAAAGGAGAAGCGGTGTCACAAGATGGAAAGGCTTCTTACTGTAAGACATGTCATTAGCATGCAAACGTGTGCTAATGAGAAGCTTGTGATTTGAATCTAAAAGGCAGGAATGGAAGAGGGAGAGGCTGCGGGCTGTGAGGGGGCTGCTGCAGCCTTTCCAGGGATAGGTCCCATGTTGCTTTTGGCTTTTTCTCCAGGAAAGGAACATGACTGTGTCTCCAGAGCTTTTGGAACCCCAGCAGGTCCCCAGTGCAGTGTTGCTGCTGTGCATCGTGGCACTGAATGCTCAGTAATTCATCTGGCACCTGGGAAGAGGCACATTTAGCACGCTCAGAGCAGCCTCTGCTCGCTGTCCTTCCTGCCCTGTGGTGGAACAACCCCATCTGAGCAGGAAATATTCTGGTGTTTTCAGTGTTTCTGTACTGCAGCGCCTCTGTTTTACTCTCAAGGTAAAACCCTTCTCACCGCTTCCTGCCCAGATCTCTGTGCTGGCTTCAGGACAGGCGTCAGCTCTCTCCTGGAAAGCTGGGGCTGAATAAGCGATGGCTTTAGGCCAAGGAGAGCCAGGGATGTCCCTGCCACCGTGGGGAGCGGGGCTGAGCATCTCCCAGGGTGAGCCTAAAGCGCTCTGAAGTTGCCGGGGCTGCTTAAGTGCAAAGTGCTGTTTGTGTGGAGAGCGGTGACGCTCTGCCACAGAGAAGGCGGCAGGCAGGCGATCTATTATTTAGCACTCACAGATGTCTGGAACTTTTCTCAGTTTGAGATGGGCCCCTGACTCGTGGCAGCGAAGGGCCGCGCTGGCCGTGGTTGATCTGAAGTGACAAATCCTCAGCTCCTTCTGCAGGGCTGCAGGGAGCAGCTGGTGGGGACCTGACAGCCCCGGTTCCCTCCCTCCCTCCCTCCCTCCTTCCTTCTCTCCCTCCCCAAGGGCTGCAGCTCAGAAGCTGCTTGCACTCCCAGGGTTGTGGTTGCAGCAGTGTGGGGCAGCTCCTGCCGTTGTCCCAGCGTGTGGTGGCTGCCTCTTCCTGTGGTTCTGGGCACGGTCCTGGGGCTTTTTCCCTCAGGCAGCTCTGACTGCAGCCTCCTGGTTTTGAGTGAGACTTGCTGTAATAAAACGGGTCTGACTCTGGGTTCCAGAGGAAGCAGAGGTGCTGGGGCAGCAGCTAATCCAGTAAAATGCAGTTGTTTGGAGACCAAAAATCTCTGAACGTGAGTATTTTGGAGAGCATGAGTTTGTCCTGGTGCAGTAGCTGTGGATCACAGTGGGGTGAAAATCTGGGCACGGCGGCCCCCTGCTTTGGCACCTTTCTCCCTGTTTGTCTCAGGCGTGCGCTCAGCTTCGTTAGCACAGCAGCCTCCTTGTGCTCTGCTGACGGAAGGGAAACGTTTTCACACAATGGCTGGCACGGCTGCCTGAAAACAGGCGTCAGCCTCGGCACCCCGACCCGCTCACGTGGTGGCTGCACACCCAGCACTGCCAGGACCAGCGCTGATGGTGGCTGATCCCTGCCATAAAGCTGAGCCATGGGGCTGTTGGTGGCCGGTTTCTGCCTCCCTGCCGTGGGCAGAAGAGATGGGGGTCCCTGTGCTGGTGCAGGGGGTGGGATGCAAGCCCTGGGTGAGCTCTGATGTGCTTTGTGCTGACCTAAAAGGCTGCGCGTCACGGTTCAGCCTGGTTTCTGTGACATAATGTGGGATAGCAGTGGGAAACTGTGAGACCATGACATGGTGTTAGCCTTTTCCAGTAGGAACGGTGTAAAACAGACAGCATCCAGCTGAGCTGCTAACAGGGTTGCGTGCCTGGAGGAAAGGCATCATGTGCACGTTTCCTTTCTGTGCTTGCCTGCCTGCAGCTGACAGCACTGCAGAGAACAGGAGGGTGACACCCCCGGGCGTAAGGCTGTGGCATCGCTCCCCCAGGCTTCCCGTGTTGTCTCTCCATAGGTGATGTTGTGGCTCTGCAGATGTGGCCCTGACTGACATAGGCCCCAAGTTGCTTGGGCCAAGGATGAGCAAGCCGACAGACCTGCAGCACGACCTGGAACGGAGCCTCCCAGCCATCGCGTCCATCAGCACCTCGCTTTCCCAGAGCCAGGGCTTCTCCCCGTACTGCTACTTCTCTCCAGAGAAGAGGAAAGCCATCTCGGATGTGAGGAGGACCTTCTGTCTCTTTGTCACCTTCGATCTGCTCTTCATCTCTTTGTTGTGGATAATCGAACTGAATGTAAGTTGGGAAAAACAAAGGTGTGGAGTCTTTCCCTTCTTAAGTCGTGCTTTTGTAAACTCGGCTTCCTCTGCGCTAATTGCTGCGTTTCAGAAGTCTCAGGCCAAGTCTTTGTTTGCTCTTCCCAGCGTTCTCTGACTTGCAGTGGCTGAGCAATCAGTGTGCAGTCAGTGCTAGCTGAAGTCCAGTTCATTTCCTGTGAGCGGCCCCGCTGCGGCTGCCCGGGGTCATTAACGCCACGCATGCAGTGCTGGGTGTTGTGGTGTAATGAGATCTGTGGCTGTGGGATTGGGAGGGGGAGCCGTCGGCCAAATTTCTCTCCTGCCCTCTTAAAGAGAAGCTGCTCTCTGCCTGTGCCAAGCAGCTGCCAGCTTTGCTGAGTGCCCTGTTCTGGAAGCCTCGGAGGGCGAGGAGGGCAGCGCAGACCTTCCTCGCGCCGCCCAGCTGGCACAGGGCACAGACAAAAAGGGCTTTGAGCTTTGGACCCGGAGCTCTGCTGCTAATCTCTGCTCCTGTGAACCGAGGTGCAGCTCTGCCACAAAGGAGCCGGCGGTTTCTGTCCCCTCTGCAGAGGCTTCGTGCCAGCACAGGGCGCTGCGTTTGCTTTTTCTGTCAACAGTTGCAACCAATGAGGAAATCTCGTTTATTTACTTCAATCTCGTCAGGTCAAAGTTGTTCCCTGGGCTACGTTTATTTATTTTTTCCCCCTCCACCGGTCCCAACTCGTTTGGCCGCGTGGGGAATGGGTTTCAGGTTACAGGTACTCCATGTCCTCGCACAGAACAGCCTGATTGGAAAGGCAAGATGATCAGATAGACCCCGCTGCTTCTGCAGGCCGCCCTCCGGTGTCTGGCCTTTGTTTATCAGCACTGGATCCTGCGCTCACTTAGCAGCTCTTATCTGTGCCCAGCTTATCTCCTGCAGTGTCTGCACGTAACGGATTGCCTCGGCCAGCAGCTCCGTCACCCCGCTCTGCCAAGAGGCTGCAGTGACCCCCACAGCCTTGTGGCAGCACGGCAGCTCTGGGGCAGCATTCCTGCGATGCCGATGGTGCCCTGGACCCCAGCCTCCTGCTCCCTCTTTGGTTCTCTCCAGAGAGAGCTTTTCTGCAAATCCCAACCTGCAGCCCTGGGGAAATGCTCTGGCAGCGCGGTCGTCAGGGTAATTCTGAGCGTAGGTCGTGCAGGTAGCCATTAATGAGTGACTAACTGGTGATATTTAGGCCCCGAGCCGAGATGCTGCATATTTAAGGCTATTAGGACGACTTATTTGCCTAGTTATGAAGAGCAATGAGTTTATATCGTGACTAATGCTTTTTTTATCAAATGGTTTCCTTTGCTGCGAGATAAGCTGAGCAAATTGGCCCTTGTTAAATGTCTGTCTCCTGCAAACTGTCATTCTGCAAGCTTGCTGCTCTCAGAGACAAAGAGGTGCCTCAGTCGGCTCTTCTCACTTGCTCATATTTAAACTGAAACACCTCCCAAAAACTGTAATTCAAAGCTTCATTCAGTTCAGTTCCCCTTCTAACATCTCCTAGCAGAGCAGTGCTGTTGGAAGAGGCTCTGTGGGTCCCTTTCAGTTCAGGATTTGCTTGGTGGCTGCTCATTGAAGCTGGTGCGAGCCCTGCAGCCTCAAATCTAAGGCAGCAGTGCAGAACTGCTCACCCCCTCCCCTCCCTGACTGTTAAGCAGCAGCCCTGACCTAGAGGGCCCACTTCCCAATGGCTGCCTCGTCTGTCCTTGGACTGGCTGACGAGAGGGTGCCAGGGCACCAGCCTGCCAAGAACTGGCCTGAGATCCACCAACTTGTTTCTCACAGATCATCAAACAGCTGTCAGCATATACCAGCTTCCAGGCCAGCTGGGCTGTGTTCAAACCAATAGCCTAAAGGTGAAGCATTTGTTCCAGTTACCTGAGCCATCCACTTCCTCATAAACAGCGATTCCAAGCTCCTGAGAACAGGATTTATGGTGTCAAAAGCATCGAGGCTGTCAAGCCCCACGTTTTTTAGGGGTGAGATAAGAGAGCTCTTTCAGATTTTTCCACGCCCTCTTACAATCCTGCAGAACCCTGCTTTTGCCTCTTCAGGCTTTCCTTGTGTCTCTACATGTTTCTGGCCTTCGGACCTCTCTCCTGCCATGCACCAAGACAGATCTTTTGGGTGTCCAGAAGGGCTTCCTGGGGCTTTTCACCTGCCCCGTGTTTCCTCCTGTGCAGCTGAAGTCTGTCCCCGGAATCTCATGATGAAGGGATGGGCACAAAGGGGGAGGTGCTGTCCTGTAGGCTGCAGGAGACAGAGGGCTTTAGGGTGGTGATGTGCTGCCATGGGATACGCTGAGCCAAACAGCAGCTTTTCCATGTGAGGAAGCCCCACGCAGAATGCTTAATGTACTGGTGTGCTGCTGCAGCCCTGGCTGCCTTCAGTGTGAAGCAGAAATGTGCTGCTGCATCTTCCCGTGGTCCTGTGCCAGCAGAGGATCCTGCAGTGTGCATTTGTATGCTTAATGCATAACCTGACCCAGCAGCAGCCTCTGGACACCGCTTGGCCGGGTTCTTTCTGTCATTAGTTTCTTATCAGTGCACTCAATGGCTTTCTCATTTCCTGTCTCCTCTTCAGACCAAGGATGGCATTCAGAAGAACCTGAAGAATGAAATCTTCGATTACAATTTCAAGACCTCTTTCTTTGACATATTTGTGAGTATCCCAGCCTGCTGCCAGTGGGGCTTATAGCTCGGAGCTCAGCCTGGCTGTGGGGCTGCTGGGGAGGGCAGCTGGGGGTCTCCCACATCCCTGCTGCTCCTGGCCCAGCACTCGGGCAGCTCGCAGCCCCCCCTGCTGCACTGCTGACCCCTCCTGGCTCTGTAGGTGGTGAGGTCCCGGGGGGGGCTGCGTCCTTCCAGCACCTGGCAGGGGGACAAGGACACCATCGATATCAATGGCTTTTTGTTTTGAAAGGTCTTGGCTTTCTTCCGATTTTTTGTGTTGCTGCTGGCCTACGCGGTTGTGAGGCTGCGCCACTGGTGGGTCATAGCGGTAAGAAGGGCCGTTTTCGTTTTCCTGTTTTCACTTTGAGCCTCTGCTTGGAGTTTGCCGAGATCTGAGATACGTGATTTTATTTTCCAGGTCACCACGTTGATATCCAGTGCCTTCCTGATTGTGAAGGTCATCCTCTCCGAGGTTGGTTCCCGTGGGCTCACAGGGGATTGCTTTGTGATTGCTGCTCGCTGCTGTTTGCCATTTTCTGTGAACTCCCTGTGACTTTTTGCTTTTCCCCACACAGCTTCTCACCAAAGGGGCGTTTGGCTACTTGCTTCCCATCGTCTCGTTTGTCATTGCTTGGTTAGAGACTTGGTTCCTGGATTTTAAAGTCCTCACTCAGGAAGCAGAAGAGGAACGATGTAAGTATTCTGCTCCTCTGGCAGGAGCCAGCAGAGCAGGCCACCAGGCCTGGCTTTTCTGCTGCTTTGGCAGCACCTTGGCAGAGATGACATTTATGGAGAAGTGATCTCCAGGCTGGCTGCGACGGGAAGTGGCTGATTCAATTCTGTTACAGTTATGAGTCCCTTCAAGGGAAGAATATACCAGATTATGAAAAGCATCTTTTAATTTGAGAAGAGAAAAACGTGCCAGATTCTCCAGTGTCTGGATACCGAAGCCAGACGTGTTGGAAACAGAGCTCACCTCCACATCAGTGAAAATGTTTTGGAACAGTGGGACAAATGCCAGGCGGGTGGTGGGACTCTCCAGATTGTGAGATCCATCTTCAGATCTGGGCTGGAGACTTTTGGAGAGGAACGATGCAAAGATCTGCAATGGGGCTGCAGCGCAGGTTGCTGCGTGTGAGATTTCACAGTCTCTGGTCACCGAGGTCAGATTAAACTGGGACTGAATCTCTGTGACCTAATGCTTCATGAATGACTGCGTGTGGCACCTGTCCCTTCCAAGGGTCCTTCTAGGGACTGGCTGCTCGCTCTGCGTAACGCAGCTGTAATGTAAAGCAGTGCTGTTACAGCACGAGGGCTCAGTTGTTCTCCCAGGCTTCTCTGACGAAAGAGAACTGGGAAATGGCCCATAAACTGAGAAGTATTTGTCAAGTGAGGCCGGATCAGAAATGCACTGAATGACTGGAAAGCACCAGAGGATGTTTGGGTCTTGCAAGAAGGCTTTAAGATGAAAAATGATCAAGTGTTTAATGCCTCTATTGGATTAGGCTCGGGTTCCAAATTGCTTCCAGGGGAAGCTCTTATTTAATTAGATGCTTAATCGCCTTTGGATTTGACAGGCAAAAGAGCCCATTGATCTCCGTGCAGATAAAATGTCTCCAACAAAAGATGAGGCAATAGGAGCTGAAAAGCTTGTGGGCTGGCTGGTGTCAGTGCGGGCAGAGCAGCTGTGTCTGGCAGAAAGTGGTTGGGAGGCTGGAGAGGGGAGGGCAGGATGGGGCCTCAGCCCCCTTGTTTAGGACTTTGCATGTGAAACCTGCTCTGCTTTGCAGGGTACCTGGCAGCCCAGGCTGCAGCTGCCCGGGGGCCCCTGCTGTACCCTGGAGCCCTTTCCGATGGGCAGTTCTACTCCCCGCCGGAGTCCTTTGCAGGTAACATCCTCTGCTCCCATCCCACGTTCCTCTGGGAGCTCCTTGCCCCTCTTACTGCCCTCTGTCTGAGCTGTGTCTCGTTAGCCCAGCTCTTGGCAGAGGCAGCAAGGCCTCCAAAAACGGGTGTTGCAGAACCTTTCCTTGCCCCACGCTGCTGCCCCGCTGCCGTGGTGCCGTGGAGGAGCAGGATCATGCTCAGCCTGGCTTTGGCTCGGTGGGAAACGAGAGCATTTTGTGGTCTTGGGGTTAAATGCTCTTAAGCTGCAATTAAAGTGCTTGTGGTTAAACGCTGCCCTCACTACGAAGGCATGGGGGTGAATCGCTGAGAACAGGTGAGGGTCGGAGCTGGCAGAGTGCTGCTGCCTTGTGCTGGCTGTGGCACCATCCCTGCTCAGCAGCCAGCAGGCATCAGCCAGAGCAGTTGTCCCAGTGTTGCTGACACCCAGGGCAACGCTCAGTGCCCACAGCCTGGCTGGGAGCAGAGCAGCACCTGGCAGCAATCTCTGTGCTGGGGGAGACAGGAGCTGGGCTGTGCTGGGCTCACACCCCCTGCTAGCAGCAGCGTTTGATCCGTTGCAAGGTCAGGGGCAGGTGTACAAATGGGCTCTTTGTTACCTGTGCTTTAATTGTGTGTTGCACCCAAGGGTCGGACAACGAGTCGGATGAGGAAGGTCCGGGAAGGAAGGCGTTGACAGCTCAGGTAAATAGAGACAGGCAGTCCTGTCCCTCGTGTCGAGGCCCTTTGCCTGGGGATGTTTGCTGAAGTGCTCTGCCTGCCCGCATGGCTCCTGGGAGCGCTGGCATCGCGGCTGCAGCACGAGGGGTTCTCAGTGACACAGCAGCAGCCAGCTTTCCCCTGCAGCCTCCCCCAGGAACGTGGCTCCGGCTCTGCCTCTCCCCCCTTCCCTGATCCTGTATCACGTGCCAGAAGGGCTCAGCCTTGACCATCCTCACTGAATTCTAGCGAGCGGGGCGGTGCTTCACCTCCCTGAAGTCTGGCTGGGCACAGGCTTCTCTGTGCTGCTTTCCAAGTGGTTCTGCTGCTGTTCAGCTCCGGTTTTGGCACTTTCACAGAAGGAAGCTCTGTGCACCTCGCAGCCCTTTGCCTGCTGGAAACCCTTGCGCTAAGGCAAGAGAGTTGCTGGTGGGCGCAGCTGGTGTGTGGATGCAAGCCAGGGCAGGAAGCATGACTTCAGGCTCCAAAATGAGGCCTCTGTGCCCTGAATTTAAGAGATTGGTGCTGTGTGGTGATGGGAGGCAGCCCACCTCCCTCTGCCAGCCCTGGGAGCAGGGCAGCAAACCTTGCACACACATACACACACATACACACACACACACACACATAGACACACACACATGTTGGGCTTTCTGCAAACCCTTCTAGTGAAATGTTCCCTTCTCTCCTAGGAGAAAGAATACGTCCGACAGGGCAAAGAAGCTATGGAAGTTGTGGACCAAATCCTTGCCCAGGAGGAGAACTGGAAGTTTGAGAAGAACAATGCAAGTGTCCCCCACAGCCCAGTGCTGGGCAGCGCTGGCAAAGAGCACGGATGGCTTAGCAAAAACTGGAGGACAAATGAGGCTTTTGAAACCTCCTTGCAACATGAAAAATTAACAAGCGTTACAATTACCTGATTGAATTAGGAATCCATTCCAGCTCAGTTAAATGTAAAATCCCCCCTTATTTAATTAGACGTTTAATTGCCTTCCCGTTTGATGGGAGAGAGCCCACGGCTCCTCCCTCTCAATGGCAGGCGGGCAGGGGGGGGACAGCTCACCTCTGGGGGGGTGAGGGCTGCAGAGCATCGTGCTTTTAGGAGCACAGCAGCTCTGGGGAGGCTCTGGCTGCTTGGGCTGCAGCCAGTCTTGGAGCAGGAGCGTGTGGGGCACAGCCCAGAGCTGTGTGCAATCCCCCTCCTCAGGACAGGGCCGTTGTGGACAGAGGGATGTGTATCAGCAGCTCTGACATGCATTTTTCCTCAAGTTACAGCAGGGTTTTCTGGGGTAGCTAAGGCTCCTTTCTGTCTCTGTAGAGGGGTGTGAAAGTGCTAGTGCCTTTGTCCCCCCCGAAATCAACCTTGTTTCCTACTTGTGGGCTTGCAATGCACTTGAGGTGAGAGTCCTGCAAACTGCACTCTCATCTGGTGTTTAAAATTCCCCTGTCAAGTGATCCATTGTTTGATGCCAAACTAGCTGGGCAGATTGTTTTCTTTATCCAAAGGGGGATGGATTTAAATAGACTAATCAGAGTTTAACACAGGGCTAATGATGAAAGGTTATCATCTGTCCATCCCTAACCCCTCCAGGGAGTCTCTTCTCAGATGTAGGTAACAACAGCAGTGCTGGCAAACTAACCCCTCTCTCATACGGTGGTGTTGGTAGCTTGCTACAAAGAGAATTTGACCTTGAAACTGAGTTTGCAGGCTGGCAAGGGTTGGATTCTTTTCCTGTCTCATCACTGCTGCTTCTCTGGATGTTGTTTTGTTTATGGAAATTTGTGCATGGGCATCTGAAATGGGCTCAGTGCCGTTCTGTGCTGGGGCTGCCTGGCGTGGGGGAGCAGGAGCAGTTTGGGGCCAAGAATGGCCCTAGGAAATGGTCCTGGAGCGGGCGAGCTCCTGCAGGGCCCAGAGACATCAGGCTTCACCTTGGGTAGAAGCAGTTCTTGTTACTTTGCCAGCATAAATGAAACTTCCTTGTTTCTTGCGCAGGACTTCGGTGATGTCGTTTACACGTTTGAAATACCTTTCCATGGCAAGACCTTTATTTTAAAGGTAAGAGCCTTCCTGTTTTGCTTCCTTAGCCTGTGTGATACATACAGAAATCGCTGCTCTGCTTGGAGCCGCGGCTCGGCTTTCACGCTCTCTCCTGGCCCTGGCAGCACAGGTCAGCCTGCAGAGCACTCTTTGCTTGAGACAGATGAACTGCTCTGCACGCTGTAGGGAATCTCTCCAGGAAAACCCCTTGGCTGGCAGACAAACTCCCCGGCAAATATGCTGGGCCCCAGTCTTTGCTGGTGGAAGTGGGAGCAGGTGACTGCAAGACTCGCTTCCAACCCCAGCATCTAGGACTAATCTGACCAAGGAGGCTAATTGCAACTAATTGCCAGCAAGACCAGGGCTGAGCGTGCGTCTGCTGCTGCCTGGCATTGAGAAGAGCTGCTCGGAAGCGCGGCGCTCGGTGCCCTCGCTGGAGCAGCTTGGCTGCAAACCATGCTTTAATGAAGCATCGGTGCTGCGGTGGCTTTTCTTTGTTCCAGTGCATATGCTGCCTCGCTGGCAGAGCTGCTGGAGGAGCAGTTCTGTGTTGGTGAGGATGGTCCCGCTCTGCTGTGTTAACCGTTTGCTTCCGAAGGTCCCCAGTCCCACGGGGATGTGGAGAAATGAATGTTAGCTGTGCTGGAGTTGTGGGAATCTTTCTGGTGGCTTTCCAAAGCAATTGCATGTGCAGCAGAGTTGCTGAGAAGGCAGGGTGAGGGCAGAGGGGCCTGAGATCGCTCTGCCTGTGTGGCTGTGGTGCAGATGGATGCTTGTCCCCCCTCCCAGCAGGCAGCAGCTCAGTGACTGCTGATCCCATTCTGATCCCCACGCCTGCCCTTCTCCCTCTTTGGCAGCAGGAAGCAACGTTGGCTGTGCGGCCTCACCGCTGTCCTCCTGCTTCCTCCCAGTTGTTCTTTCTGATCTGCTCTGCGCTCCTTAGAAAAGATAATCACCCCCAAGCGGAGCGAGGGACCGGCTGACTGCTCTGTCTGTCCTCAGGCTTTCCTGCAGTGCTCTGCTGAAACGGTTTACCAGGAGGTTATTCTGCAGCCCGAGAAGATGATCCTGTGGAACAGAACGGTGGCAGCTTGCCAGGTGAGCGTGCCGGACAAAGATGGCTTAATCACAGGAGCTCCTTGAAGCGGAGAGCTGCAGCTTCCCAGCCCAACGCCGGCTGTCAGCGGTGCCCAGGCCCTACTGGAGCTGAGCTGGATCAGAATCACCGAGGCGTTAAATCTCCGCCGCTCAGCCGTACGATCCGAATGCTCTGCGGCGGCCAGCTGCATGGCTGTGCCCATCCAAAAGCCCACGAGGTGGGCAGGGAGCTGGGCCAGTGCCTGAGCCAAGCCTGCTTCTGCTCGGCGCCGTTTGGCGCTGCCGGCGTGGCGGGGATCCGATGGGGACGCCTGTGCTCCCCCCAGGAAGGAGGGGCAGCCCTGGGCCAGCAGACAAACCTGTGTGCGCTGCCACAGCTCATCTCCTGCCCCCAGAGCTGCTCTATGTGCTCCCAGCTGTGAGGGGCTGCAGTGCCCAGCTGTTGGCAGCTGCAGGCGCAGGCTGAAGAGTTTCCTTTCCTTTCTCCCAGATCCTGCAGCGGGTTGAAGACAACACGATCGTTTCATATGATGTAGCAGCCGGGGCTGCAGGCGGCGTCGTTTCCCCCAGGTCAGTTTCTTTCACTGCTTCGTACTGAGCCTCTGAACACCTGTAAAACACTGAGAGAAGCTCCTGAGCTCAGTGAGAGCCAGCAGGGCTGGGTGACGTCCCCAAGGCAGGGAGTCCCTCGAGTGCCTTACAGACGCTGTGGCAGGAGTCTCAGAGCTCAGAATCTGTCCCGGTCGCTCCCTCTGTCTCCCTGCTAACCGTGCTGCCTGTGTTTTGGCCATATGTTGACATACCTCTGCCACAGCCTTTCCCAGCAGCCCCAGGCACGTGATCTGCTCCTTCCAAGTCTCACGCACATCTCAAAGCTGCCGTTGCCCTTTCTTTGCTCAGGGACTTTGTGAACGTGCGGCGGATCGAGAGGAGAAGAGACAGGTACATTTCCTCAGGGATGTCGACCACGCACAGCCTGAAGCCTCCACTCTCCAAGTACGTCAGGTAAGAGGCAGATTCTGTTATTTATTTATTTATTTTTGAGCTGGCATCTGACACGTGCCTTGCTTAAGCATAGGGCAGAGAGCCACTGAAATGAGAACCCTGCTGTCTTCCTGGCACCGTTTGCAGGAAGCTGATCTATTTGTGGAACCAAACCTTGCTTCCCTTGTTCTTCTCCCTTTGTTAAGGAAACGCTCTGTGCTGCTCGGGCGTTTCCCAGCCCCGCTCTGGGGAGCGGAGGTGCCGACAGTAACAGCCCAAACCCCAACCCCTCCTGCATCCTGTTTGTATAGCAGCCAATTCCCAAACAGGGCCAGCTGCCGTTTCGGAGGGGCAGTGAGCAGCTGCCCACGTCTTTCTGTGAGCCTCTCGGATGCCTTTTGCTTCTCGTAAGCCACTCGCTTACTGACTCTAAAGCCTGCAGGCACCGAGGGACGTTCCTGGGGGTGCAGTGAGCTGCGCTGGGGTGGGACAGCTTCCAGAGCACCAGGGGGGTCCCGGCCTCTACCTTTGCACAGGGCTGGTTCCACACAGCTGCTGATGGATCTCAGCAGGGCTGGTCTCATCACACGAGGTTCCTTGTTACTGCCTGTGCTGCTGCCTGGGGCCCAGCTGTGCCGCTTCACGCGCTGACTTTGTTTTTCCTAATAATCTGGTTAAAGTAATTGACATTTTAACTCGGAGACGTTATAGCTGCCTCAGTCTATTTAAGAGCTGGGGACTTCGGGGGCCTAGAAAAAAAAAAAAATCTGTTAACAAATGTATGCAGCAAAAACAGTGCATGTTCCTGAGCAGGGAAGGGAAATCTGTATTTGGGCTGCGTGTGCGAGCACAGCTCTCGTGTCTGAGGCGCTCAGATGGTGTAGGAAGGCTGCAGAGACGCGGCGGTGCGCTGAGCTCAGCCTGACCGTGGGGCCTCCCTGGGTGCTTCCCACTTGTTTGCAACCAATTCTGCAGTGCTGTGTCTCTGCAGCCTCCCAGCAAAGCAGTGCCAGCGTCGGCCAAGCCGGAGGTCTGGAGGCAGCCTCAGCACTGCTGCTGTGGGGAAACTGCTGGGCAGATTGCATTTGTGCCCATAGTCGGCCAGGTTCCTTCCTGGATGCTCTGAGCATCTGCTGGTGCCCCGCTGGGCTGCTGTCAGGTGAGGGGCTGTGGCTGCAGGAGCCAACATGGGGTCGGTGCAGTGCGAGCAGGGCTTTGGGGGGTGGCTCCACAGCTTTCCCAGATTGATTTGGTGCTGTTGTTTCCCCCGAAGGGGTGAGAACGGACCTGGAGGATTCGTCGTATTGAAGTGCCCCAGCAACCCCCGGGTCTGCACTTTTATCTGGATCCTAAACACGGACCTGAAGGTAAAGCACTGATGTGTGAGCATTGTGGCCGTGTCCCAACCCCAGCAGAGCTCATCAGTGTGCTTCTAAAGCTCTGCCTAGGGCAGGACGGGGCTGAGGACCTGGGCAGTGCAGGGGCTGCTGTCCTGCTGCGAGCCTCCCCTGGGCACGGCTCTGAGCTGCTCTTGGAGGCTGCAGTAGTGGGACCTGAGTTTTGCAGACAGGACCTGATCACCACCTGAAAATCTCCCTCTTTCCCCCTCAAGTTTCCCCGGTGTAGATCTGGGAAACCCTTCCTTACCTGACAGATCTTGGTTACGGGGCTTCACCTCTGTGCGGGGACTGGGAAGAGGTGATTTCATCCAACCTTAGTTGGACAGGGAAGCGTTGCCTGGCTGCGTGCTGCTCCCAGGAACCTACAGCAGGGATGAATCATTTGCTCCCAGACACCTCGGCACAAACGCAGACCCCCGCGGAGCTGCGGCCGCACGCGGAGAGCAGCGCTTCAGCCCCGCGCCGTGACCCAAATCCGGAGCTATTTGTGGAGCTGCACGCAGAGTCCTTGCTGGTGGCCGGGACAAAGGCAGCAGGCAGGGAGCCGGGGGGGAAAGGGGGGGCGCTGCCCTGTTTTCTTCCTGCGCCGAGGTTGGTGTGGAAACGGCGCTGCAGCAGCGAGCACAAAGGCTCCATTCATCGGCGCTGCGCGGCGCGGCCCCCTCCCCTCCTACAGCCCTCCCCTCCCACGGAGCAGCTCGGCTGCCGTGCAGCATTGGGCTCTGGAAAGGCAGCGTGCAAACGATCCTCTTGGCGGCTCCTTGGCTGGGACGTGGCACGGCTGCTCCCGGCCCGCTGCCCCTGGCTTCTGCTCGGCACAGGGTTGGTGCTGGAGCTGCTTCTCCTTCGTGCAAATCTCTCCTCCGCCTCCTCCTTCCCTCTGTAGTGAGCTGGGCTGGAGGGAAATCGGCTCCATTTTGCACAACTGAGCTGGGAAAGGGGAGGTCCCCGCTCTGTGCTTCCCAGGACGCGGAGTGCTCTCCTGCTGCTGCTGGAAGAAATGCCAGAGCAGCCGAGCTATTAATAATGCTTCCACCATCTTCCTGAAGGGCTCTGCTGCTGCTCACAGCCCTCGTTGGTGCTGCCTTGGTATTTCCTTTGGCCCTGACGGCGTATTTATAGCTGGTGGCTCATCCCTTCCTCCAGCGAAGGGCAAGGGTTGCACACGTGTGTGTGTTTGTGTGTGTGTGTTTGTGTCTGTGCTGGCACTTTGCCCCCCAGCTCAGTTTGGAGAGCTGCCCAAAATGGCCCCCGCTCCTCAGCTGGGTGCAGTGCCAGCCCCAAAGGGCGGAGGGGAAAAGCCCCGCAGTGGGGGCTGAGGGAGCCCTTCCCCACATCCACGGGGCTTTTCCTGTGCCCTGGGCAGGGGGACGTGGCCCCTTCCTCCTTCTCTGCACCTCAGTACCTGCCCCCTTCCCAGCCCGGTGCTGCTGCCTTCCCCCGCAGATCCTGGGCTGATTTTCTTAGCAGATAATGGAGCTCGGGCCGAGGCGGCGCGGGTTGAGTCGTGCAGGGCTTTTTAGGGAAATCAAAACGTGCTTCAGTTCCTCCCCCAGATCCCAGAACTCCCTGAGAGCAGCAGCAGCTCCCTGCCGCGGTGTGCAGCCCCGTCCCCACACCTTCTGGGCGCCCAGAGCGGGGGTCCTGCAGGGCCTTTCCACTCCCTCTGGGTTGCTGTGCTGCCACCCTCACTCGTGTTCTGTTTCCTCTGCTCTCCTCGCAGGGTCGCCTGCCCCGGTACCTCATCCACCAGAGCCTGGCAGCCACCATGTTTGAGTTTGCCTTCCACCTGCGGCAGCGGGTCGGGGAGCTCTGCAGCAAGCCCTGAGCGCCGTGCTCTGCCCTGCTGGACTGGATGTGGGCACGCAGGAGGGGCTGCTCCTCTCCTTCCCCGCCCAACCGGAGCCCTGGAGCTGCCGTGTGGTGTGTGCCAAACCCCTGTCCTGCTCTGCCCTGCAGCTGGGATCTGCCCCGTGCTTGGTCTCCCTCCACATTGAGTCTGGGGGCTCGTTGGCACCCCCAGGCTGCTGTGCCGAGGGTGAGGGATTCGGAGGAGAAAGCCAGGCAGGGTGAGCACGCAGTTCTGTCACCTGCCACTCACACACGGGGACAAAGCACGGCTCCTGTGTGGCTCGTGGGCACCTTCCCCTGCATGGGGGGCTGCTGTGGGGACCCTCGGGGCGCTGCATCCTGTGGGATGCTCCTGAGCTCAGCGTGCAGCCCTGCAGGCTGTGGGATCAGAGCCTTCCGCCTTCCCCAGGGGCTGTGGGGGCGAGCGCAGCTTGGTGCTGCTTGCACTGCTGCCACGTTCTGCTCTGTCATGGGAAGCAGCGTGGAGCTGCCCCTGTGTGGGTGCCCACAACGGCAGCCCTGAGGGGGGGGGGAGCGCCTGTGGAACCCCCCAAGGGCTGGACCTGGGGTCTCTGCACCTCTATCAGTGCCCGTCCTGGTGCTTCTGTTGGTACTGGGGGGCACCTCCGGCTGGCATCTGTCAAAATAAAGAGCCTTGCACTATTTGCAGCCCGCTGCTTTCCTCGTGCCCTTTGTAACTCGATCGAATAAAAGCGGGAGGAGTGTCTGCCTGGGGTGGGGGGTGGGGGGCAGGCAAAAGGAATGCGCCCAGGGCTCCTGCAGGCCCACTGGCCACGGGGGTCACCGTCCCCTGCCCTGCTGGGCCACGCAGCATCCTTCCATCCCCCACACAAGGTCTGGCTGTGTGTCCCAAAGGCCTCCAGTTGTGCCCAGGAGTCCCAGTGGCCCCTCGGTTCCACGGAAGGGGCTGCAGAGCAGTGCCCCCCCCCCGGCCCTCCCCCTGGGCCCGCCCCCTGGGGCGGGGGCGCGGGGGCACCGCACCAGGATGGCACCCCGGTGGTCCTACAGACGTAGAGCTGGGTTTGATGTGGAGCAGCGCCGGGTGGCGCAGACACCGTGCTGGTGACAGTCAGCCACAGAGCCTTTGTCACCTCTTGGGTCCATCAAATTCCCGGGGGGGGGGCACATCCCATTGGGGACACGTCATGGGGCACACGGGGCTGAGCGTGGCGGGCGCACACGAGGTGACGCACATGTCCCTCAATGCCACCTCCTGCTGCTCGCCCCTTGGCACCCTGCTGTCCCCTCGGTGCCAGTGACACGTCCCAAAATAGCCTCTGTGGGGCCATAAAAGCGGGGAGGGCGGCAGCGGGGCAGCAGAAGCCACCGCTGGGAGCGCTGTGAGGATGTGGGGGCCGAGCACGGTGGGACGCAGCGGGGGGCTGCTCTGCAGTGCCCGCCTGGGCTGCCGTGTGCAGGAGGAGGACGTGGGGCGCCGAGAGTCCTTCAGTGCTGAGTGGTTGGACCTGGAGCTCAGCACCCGGCCTGAGGAGGGGTGAGCGGCACCGCTGGGGGTCTGGGAGCTCGGGGTCCCCGTAGGGCGTTGGGGCTGAGGGAGATCTGATCGTGGGGGAGCTCCTGGGGGGAGCCACGGGTTCCCCGTGAGAGGATCTTTGGGGTTGCTATGGGGGTTTGCATGGGGATGGAGGAGGCCGGGTGGAGGTGTGACGAGTTGGGGTCCCTGTGGAGCTGTGGGGGTCCCCGTGGGGAACTGGGGGTCTCGTGGAGCCAGGTGGTGTCTGCGCAGTGACGGGGTTGCGGGTGGGGGTCTCTGAGCTTCCCATATGGTTGTGGAGCTCCTGGGTTGGGGGGGAGGTTCCAAAGGTCTTCGTGATGGTGAATAGAGAACGGTGGGGGTTCTGAAATATCAGTGGGGAGCACGGGGATGTCAGCGGGTCCCCGTGAGGTGGGATGGGACAGAAGGGTCTCCAACGGCGCTCGAGGGTTTGGGAAGCTACGGGGGTCTCCAAGAGCTCCCATGGGGCTGGGTGGGACGGGGATCTCTGCAGCCGCCCCACGAGCTCCCCGTGTGCAGGTGGTGCCGGAGGGAGGTGGACCGGCAGCGCCGCGAGTCGCTGGAGCAGCGCGGCGAGACGCGGGTGCTGACGCAGCGCTCACCGTGGGGCGTGCTGAGGGTCGGCGTCCTGGGGCAGCCCCTGGCCCAGCACCTCCTGCCTTACGCCCGCACCCTCCCGCTGCCCCTCTTCGCCCCCCCCAGACCTGCGCGGATCCAAGCCGGGGCTCCGACGGACCCTCTCTCGTTCGCTCTCCCACGAAGCCCAGAGGGGCTGAAGGCAGTGGGGTGGGGGGGCTCGGGGCACGGGATGAGATCGGGGGGCGGCGGAGGGGGGGGTCTTGAGCTCCACTGCTCACCGCAGCCCCCGAAGATGATGGAGGAAAGTGGGGGGACGTGGGGGTGGGCGCTCACCCTGCGGTGGGCGGCAGAGGCCGGTGGGGACGGGGCGCAGCCGCGGTGCGGTGTCCCGGGCAGAGAGAAGGGAGCGAGGATGAGGTGTGCTGAGCCCCCCCCGGGGCAGGGGCTGGGAGACACAGCAGCGTTGTGTTGTTTTGTACAGATGTGAATTTCTTTGTATTGCAATAAAAGGCGCAGCTTGGCTCTGTTGCTCTGGCAGTGGTTTGAGTGCAGGGTACCAGAACCCCCCCCCTCCACAGGGCCTGGATCAGCCCTAGAGCATTGGACTGTCCATGGGGCTGTGCCCCTCCGTTTGTCCCCTTCTGGCCCGAGGATGGGGACAGCAACCCTTTGGGAACTGGGGAAACTGAGGCACAGCCCATCGCTGTGGGATGCGGGTGAGAGGATGAGGGGAGTGGGGGCAGATCTCTCTTATATAACTGTGCCCCCCCCCCCCGCCCTTACCAGCCCATGCCAGGGTTCCGCATGGCCCTGGTGTCAGCACCCAGATTAGCTGTTCCCTCCCGGATGGATCCTGCTGTTCCTGGGCCACCGCCAGGCCCTGCGCCCATCCCCTTCCCATCCCCATCCATCCCCACTCGCTGCCCGTAGGGCTTCGCCACCTTCACCCCTTCCTTCTCCCAGCCCCACAAGCAGCACCACCCCACATCCCAGGCCGCTGGGTGCAATGAGCGCACTGGGAGCTGGAGGGGTTGTTGGGCCGGATCCTGCCAGGGGCTGAGGTCCATCACACTCAGCTCAGCAGCGTTAGCTTCACAAGGCAGCGCCTGGACAGACCCCATCGCTGTCCTTATCTCACTGCCTTCATTCTCCCAGTCCTCATTCCCACTCCCGTCCCCATCTCCGTTCCCAGCCCCATCTCTCCCAGCCCCATCCCAACCTTACGCCGCACACAAGGGTCGGTGCAGCCCCTTTGGGGTGGCCACGCTCCCCAATGCTGACACAACCCCATGGGCCGCAGCCCCCACATGGGGAGCTGTGTGTGGGTGTGTGTGGGCCCAGCAGGGCCCGCAGGCGCTGACAATAACCTGGTTATCCACGATGGACGGCTGCAATCAGCGCCGAGCTGCCGCTGCCATAACTCACCATGCCCCCACCCCCCCCCTTCCTGGTTATCGGGGCTATAAATGGGACGCAGCGTTGGCACAGCACAGACCCCAACCATGAGCAGCCTGGATGCCATCCGGGAGGGCTACGCACGCTTTGAGCCCCACGCCTACCTGCACAACAACTACGTGCCCCCCCGCGCCGACTTCTCCTCCGAGGAATGCGTGGTGCCCTGGAAACTGAGATGTTTGGCCGAAACCTTCGCCAGCGGTGGGGAAACTGAGGCACGGGGTGGGGGGGCACGGAGCATCCCGCTCGGCTCTCCCATCCCGTGCCTCACAGTGGGACCCCCCCACCCCCACCCCCCAGGTGAGATCTGCGGGCGCACGCTCATCGACGTGGGTTCGGGCCCCACCATCTATCAGCTGCTGAGCGCCTGCGATCACTTCGAGGAGATCGTGGCCACCGATTTCCTGGAGGTGAACCGGGAGGAGCTGCGGCGTTGGGTGCGGGGTGAGCCTGGAGCTTTCGACTGGAGTCCCTTCATCCAGCACGTCTGCAAGATCGAGGGGCGCGGGTAGGGCAGGAGGGGTTGGGGGGGGGGGTTGGGGGGCACACGGTGCTCCTGTGGAATGCTGGCCCCAAATCCCTGTGGAGCTTCGTGCCACGTCCCTGCAGAGCGCGGCCCCTTGGATTTGAGGGTTGGGGGCTGAGACCCGCTGCAGTCGTGGTCCCACAGCCCATAGCACTGATCCCAGCACCTGATTCCTTTGGGATCCCACCCCCCAGGTCCCTCTGAGCACTGTGCTGGTCCCCATAGGATCCCAATGCCGTGTCCCCACATCTGCCGTGCTGATCCCCAGCCTCGTGTCCCCCCTCGTGCCAGGCTGACTCCCTTGGGATTCCATCTCCACATCCCCGCGGATGCTGTGCTGATCCCTGCAGGATCTCATCCCCATAATGCTGCTGATGCTGGGCTGATCGCTATGGGATCCCGTCCCTGCATCCCCCCCAGGGTCCCATCCCCACACCGTGCTGATCCCTGCAGGTCCTGTCCTAACATCCCTTGCAGAAGTCAGGCTGATTGCTATGGGATCCCGTCCCCACATCCCACACTGGCTGCTCCCTGCAGGACCCCAACCCCACACATCCCACACGGCTCCCCCTTCCCTCTGCCCCATCCCAATGCCACCCGCCGCCCCACAGGGAGCCCTGGCAGGACAAGGAGCAACGGTTGCGGGGCCGCCTGCGGCGCATCCTCCCCATCGACGTGCACCATGCAGACCCACTGGGCGCCCCACTGCACCCCCCGGCCGATGCTCTGCTCTCCACCTTCTGCCTGGAGGCCGTCAGCCCCGACCGCGCAGCCTTCGGGCGAGCGCTGGTGAATGTGGGCTCAATGCTGCGCCCGGGGGGCCACGCGGTGCTGCTGGGGGCTCTGGGGGAGTCCTTCTACCTGGCGGGCGCCGCGCGGCTGCCCGTGGTGCCGCTGGATGAGGATGACGTCCGCGGGGCTCTGAGCGATGCTGGGTTCACCCTCCTTGATTTCCGCTCCTATCCCATGCCCCCCGCGCTGCGCACCGGCGTGGATGACGTCGATGGAGTGTTCTTTGTCCATGCACAGAAACCACTGGAAGGCTGAGCCCCCTCCCTCCCTGCTTCCCACCCTCAAAAAGGCTGCGTTCCTGAGTCTTGCCATCCCACCCCCACTGCGTCCCATAATAAAGCCTGAGCTGAGCACGGCACAGCCTTGGGGAGGCACGGCGGCTTGGGGGCTGTGCAGGCTGGGGGGTAAAATGGGGATGAGAGAAATGGGGGTCACTGCATCTCAAGGGAGGGGGTGCAGGGGCTTTTAAAGGGCATGTCAAGATGGGGGGAGTGGGGACAGAAGGGTGGGGGGGCTGCAGGGTGGGCGCTGTGTGGGGTGGGCAGGGTGGTGTGGGGCGACGGGAGCGCAGCAGGGCTGGGTATGCAGCGCCCATAGAGCAGCGGTGGGGTGCAGAGCAGGATGGGGGGCACAGAGTAGAGACTGAATTCCAGCTTTATTCACAGCACAGGGCACACCCTGCTGGGGGGCTGCACCCTGCTGGGTGGGGGGCACAGCCCCAGGGACTCCCCAAGGGCTGCACAGGGGTCACCCCCCCCACCCGAAGGCACCGCTCTGACCCCACGCATTGCACTGTCCCCCCTCCGCCAAAAAGCCACCCAGCAGCAAGCAGGGCAGGGCAAGGCAGCATCCCTCCCCCTGTCCCCCAGGCACCAGCATACACAGGCACCATCACACCCCCCCAGGGGTCCCCCTCTGTGCTCGGCCTCCCCCAGACCCCCACGTCCCCCCCCCATAGCAGTGCAGCCCCAACAGCCGTTGCCACCTCGCGGCTGCCGGGATCCACAGCAGGAGAAACGGGCTCAGCGTCAGCAGCCAGGGGGGTCCACTGCCCCCAGCTCCTCCCAGAGAGGGGCTCCTGGCCCCCACACAGGACAGAGTGATAGAAAGGAAAGCACATCTCAGAAGGCAGGGGGAAGAGGGAGTCCATGGCCAGGAAGTATGGGGAAGGGGGAGGGAGGAATTTGTTTGGCACACGTCGGGACAGGGCCCTGGGGGGGCATGCAGTGTTTCATCCCTCCCTGCTGCTCTAGTCCACTTTGGAGAGGTCCGAGTTGGCCTTCAGGAGGTAGAGGCTGTCATCCACCAGGAAGCTGTGGGGAGGGAGGGGAGGGCTGGGGGGCGCAGATTGGTCCATTGGGGGCAGGAGGTGGGGGAACAAAGGGGGCCCAAAAGCCACCAGAGCCCAGTCAGACCCTGGAGCACCCCCAGCACCCAGGAGCAGAGAGGGGGCTCTGAGCAGCCCCAATTCAAGATAGGGGACGCAGCACTCCAAGGGCAAAAGAGGGGCCCCCAAGCACCTCAATTTCAAGAGTGGAGCACTGGGCACCTCATACTGAAGGAAAGGGCCCCCGGTGCCCAGATTTCAAGCACGGCCCTCACCTGTAGAAGAGGATGTTGAGCGGCACGGTGCTGATGTGCCAGAGGGCATGGGCGTCCAGCACCCAGAAGAGAGGAGGGAAGTCGAGGAGCTCGAGCAGAGCCCCCGCCTGCAGCAGCAGCACCACCACCGCACACTTCCAGACGTGGGGCAGGCGAGGCCGGTTCCGCAGGCACCACCAGAGCCACCACAGCAGGTTGAGGAGCCCTAAGGGGGGAAAAAAAGGGGGCAGGGGGATGGGAGCGCGATGGCCCGCACCCATTGCGTCCCCAAGGTCCTCACTCTCATCTCACTTTGTCCCCACATCCTCCACCCTGCTCCCATTGTGTTCCCTCGGCCCCTACTCTGATCCCATCGTTCCTCCTGGACCCGTTGCTCCCACGTTCCCCACCCCAGCCCCGCTGCCCCAGCTCTCACCGATGGCCACGTTCGCAGCCATGTTGTAGCCGTAGTCAAAGCGGACGAGCGTCAGGTAGGAGATGTGGCAGGCGAGGAAGAGGAGGAGGAAGGCCCTGAAGACGCCGATTAAGGCCGGCCGCCGCAGCCCCATCGTCCTGTGGACAGGAGGACAGCGGTGACACAAACCCAGCCCCAGGAACAGCGTTGTCCCCAGCGCTGGGACCGCGCTCACCTGACCCAGCACAGGTACACGGAGTGCAGGACAACGGCTGAGGCGCAGAAGTAGTCGAGTTTCTGCAGGGCAGGAGTGGAGCCAGGGGCTCAGACCCCGGGGATTCACCCAGTGCCCCCCACAAGGTGGGGATGGGGACCCTCACCTCTGTCAGCGCCGTGTCCCGCGTGTGGAAGACGGTGGACCAGAACCAGGCATTGACGGAGACCTGTGGAGAGCACAGAGTGCTGTTGTAGGCAGGGGACAGATGAGGTCACCACAGTGGTGGCTTCTGCACGTCCCCAGTGCCCCGAGGGGAGGACTTACCCAGGCAAAGGCGACGCAGGTGGGGTACATGGGGGAGGTGGGGGGCACGGCAGCTTTGTAGCGCAGCAGCATCAGGAAGCTGGCCAGGCCGTTGAGGAGGGAGGCAAAGGCAGAGGCTGGCTCCTGAACAAAGAGGAACCGGGAGAAGGGCCACTGCGAGGGGATGGGGAGGGGGGGGGCGTCAGTTGGATGGAGGGAACGCAGGGAACCCCAACCTCCCTCCCCCCCTTTGTGCTCACCTTGCCATGGAACTGCGGCACGCGGCGGCCGCCCTGCACGTAGAGCCGCACTGTGTGCCACATGCACTCATACTTGCAGTCATCGTGGCACGTCCAGCCTGGGGATGGGGAGCGGGGGGTCCCGGGGTGGGGCTCAGTGTGTCCCTCCTCCCTGCACCCCCTCCAGTCCCTCTCAGCACAGTGGGTGTCAGGACACCCATCTGCCACGGCCAAGGAGAAGGTTCCAGGATGGCTCTAAGTCTCCCCAGAGCAGCCCAGTACCCCCCATCGTGGCTCTGTGCCTCCCAGCACAGCCCTGCATGCTCCAATGTGGCTCAGTGTTCCCCCAGAACGGACCAGCAACCTTCCAACCTGACCCCAGCGTGGCCCAGTGCCTCCCGGTCCATCCCAGCGCTCCCAGTACGGTCCCAGTCAGGAACCAGTGACCCCCCCAAGTCCGGTCTCACCTCGGCCCAGTGCTCCCCAGTGCAGAACTAGCACAGCCCGGTCACCTCTCAGCCCACACCGATACGAGCCCACAGCTCCCAGTACATCCCAGTGCTCCCAGTTCTGCCCCGCCTCCACGTGCAGAGGAGGAGCCTGCGCGACACGTGGGCGTGGCCCGGAAGCGGCGGAGTCTCCAGGCCCGTCAGCCAATGGGCGGGCAGCGGGGCGGTACCTGTGAGGCCCATGTAGAGCGGCTGCCGGGCGCGGAAGTGCCGCAGCGCCGCCCCCGAGCAGTTCCGCCGCTCGCAGCGGCCCAGGCACTCGCGGTACAGCGGCTCCCGGTCGCCCTGAGAGCCGCGGGCCGGGCCCGGCGCCGTCGCCGCTCCCAGCAACAGCAGCAGCGCGGCCCGCGCCGCCCCGCCGCTCGCCATCGCCGCCCGGCGCGGCTTCCTGCCCGCCCCGGAAGTGGGGGCGGCGCGGGGCACCACGGGATATAGCGCCCCCGCTGGCCGCGGGCATCACGGGAGGGTTGCGGTCCACTAGAGCGGGAGGATCATGGGATATTTCGTCCCCCCCTCCTTCGGCGCTCTCCGCAGAGGCTCACGGGATATATCCCCCCGTGGTGCCAGGGGGCGTCGGAGGCCTCGAGGGGGTCAGGCCCGGTGGGGGGGCCGGAGGGCCCCCGGGGGTCTCAGCGCAGTGCGGAGAGGAGCGGGGCGGCGGGGGGCGGAGGCCGCGAGGTCTAGGGCTGCCTCAGAACAGCGGGCCTGGCTGGGAGATGGGGGCAGCTGCGAGACCGGCCCTGCCCCGCGGCCTCGGCCTGTACCGCCGCACCGCGCGTGGGGCCGGGGGTCGCGCCCTGCAGCGGGGCAGCCCGAGGGCTGCGGTGCTCCGGTGGAGCCGTGCCAGCAGCGGGGCCGTGCCCGGTTCTTCGCAGTGCCCGTTGTGGAGCTCCCACGTTGGCGGAACCCCGAGATGGAGCGCACGAGGGTGGCTCCACTGTACCCCCCCAGTCAGGACCCCTGGTGACCGAGACGGGAAAACCCGGTGCTGCCGGAATGGGGTGACCGAGAGCAGCCGGAGGTCCCGGTACGTCCGGCTCGGTGCTGCCTGTGTCGGAGGGCCCCGCTGCTCCCGGGATGAAGCGCCCAAAGCCGCCCGGTGGTTCCCGTGGTTCCGATGCTGCCCGGGAGATTCGGGACCCGCGATGTCCGGCCTCGGTGCCGCCGGGCGGCCGCGAGCAGCCGGGAGCTCCGCCGCCGATCCCGGCACAGCGGGACGGACGGTGACCCGACGCCGCCCGGTGCCTCCGGTGCTCGGGAGCGCGCGGGGTGGGCGGGAGCGCGCGGCGCGCCCTCTTCCCCGCTCCCAGGAACGCTGCGCGTCCCCGCGAGGTGGAGCCCGGGAGCGCGGCGGGAGGCGGCGGAACCGCACCGCAAACTTTCCCGGAGCGGCCGGCGCGGGGCCATGGGCCGCGGCCCGCGCTGAGCACCATGATCGCCGCCCGCGGCCGCCCGCTTTGCCCCGCGCTGCTGCTGCTGCTGCTTGCCGCGCTTTGCCCCACCGCCGCCGCCGAAGGTGGGTCCGCCCCGACGGGCAGCGGGGGCGCGGGGGGCGGCGGCGGGACTCGGTGCGGAGTTGTGCGGAGAGCGGAGGGGTCGGGGTAGCGGGGCCGGGGGGCTGCTGGGGCTTTACGGTTGAAAGTGACCCCCACCCCTCCCGCCTTGCTTGGTCCCCCCCCCCCCCCTCCCGGCTCCCCGCCGTGGGCAGCACCTCCCTCTCGGCGTTCCCACGCGGGATTGGGCTGAGCCGGGAGGCGCGGGGCCGGGGGCGGCCGCACCGCTCGTTGCCCCCCCCCGTGTCCCCCGGCGAGCGCGTGCTCGCAGCTCCTGCTGTGCCGTGTCCCCCAGGGGACCCCGAAATGGAGACGGCCCCGTCCCCACCGCGGTGCGTGGGATGGAACGGCTCGCGGGGGTCCCGCAGATCACAAGAGGTGCGGTGACACAACCGCGAGAGCCCCCCCCCCCCTTCCCCGTCCCACGGAGATGGTTTCGGGGCGCGGAGGGGCCCCGGGGCGGCGGCGGTGCCGCACGGTGCGGGTGGGCGGGCGGGCGGGTGCGTCCCCGCCGGTCGCTCCCATCCACATTCTCGAGGTGCCGCACCCTGCCCGGCCCGACGGGAGCAGCCGGGGCAGGACCCAGCGCCGCGGGGCCTCGGCCGGAGCGAGGACGGGGCGGGCATCGCCCCACCGCCGTCCCCACGCAGATCCCGATGTGGGGCTCCGGGCAAAAAGTGGGGACTCGGTGGGTCCCTTCTGCTCCCGTCACCCTGCAGCTCGAGCTCCGAGTGGTGGCACGTCCCCACCGCTGTACCCAGCGCTGTCCCCAGGGCAGGGGGTGACGCGCAGCCCGAGCCCCGGGAGGGCGATGGCAGTGGTTCCGAACTGGGATCCATCCCCACCGCCTTCCTCCGGCCCTGGGAGCGCCGTCGGCATCCCCTGCCCGCACGCAGCAGGTGGAGCAGACCTTGAGCTTTGGCCGCACAACACCGCAGGGCCGTTCCCTTCGGGGTGGGGGCACCTGGCAGTCCCCACCTCCCCATCCACATGTGTAGCTGCCCCGTGCCCAGGGGCAGAGATTCCCGTTCTGGAGGCTCGGGGCTGTTTCCCCGTCTCGGCGGCCCCGCAGCAGGCAGAGGTCGGGAAAGGGGGGGGGGCGGCTGCATCCCGGGTTGTCCCATGGCCTCGTGGCAGCTGCCGGCACCGGGGGCTGTCACTCAGCCTCCGCGCGGCCCCCCCTGCACGGAGGGCAGAGCGAGACGTACCCAACCCCTGCCTCAGCGTCCCCTTCCGAGGTGGTGATGGTGGAGCCGTGGGTCAGCGTTGGGGACGACCGCGGCCCCCACCCCATGAGGTGAGAGGGGACAACGGGGAGCCACCGTGACCCCCGCTCGAGGAGAGGCAGGGGGGCACCTTGGCACGTGGGGGTCTCGAGGGACCCCAGCCCCAAAGCCTTCACTGGGGGGCCGTCCCGCGTGGCGGTGGGGCGCCGGGGGCCGCGGGCGTGCCGGGGCTGGGCCGTGCCTGCGTCACCCCGCTCGCTCCCCAAACATGCCCGACCTGAAAAGGCGGTTCCCGGCGGGACGCTGCGGCCGGGCCGTGCCACCCCACCGCCGTGACTCACCGCACCCCGGCCCGCCCCTCCCGGACCCACCGCCACGCACTGGGTTGGGGGGTGGGGGGGGACGGGACGGAGCGAGGCGGCCATGGGACGCGGCCATCCGGGGCCGCTCAACAATCGCGTGTTGTCTGGGCTTCTCCCCCCCGGCGGCGTGGGCACAGCATTCCTGCTCCGCGGCCCCCGCCCCGCTCGGGGCCCCCCGGGCTGCGCTCGTTGCGGGCTGTGGGGCCGGAGCGGCGTTCGGCCCCCTGGGACCGCCCAGTGCCGGACGTGGGCACGCGGTGGGGGTCGTGGCTGCGTGCCGAAACGTTGGGGTGGTGCTGCGGTGGGAGCTGGGGGTCCGCATCCCCGAGCATCCCGTGTCCCTCGTCCCCACGCCACGTGCGGGGGCCGCGCAGGAAGCCCATCGGAAGCCCATCGGAAGTTTTTGGGAGCAGATAACCGTCAGCAGCCTCAGCCGCAGCATTTCCTGCGGCCGGATCCCGCGGGGGCGATGGCACGGCCGGCCTTGGCTGACCCGTCTCACCCCCTCCATCCATCCCCGCAGTGTGCACCGGCACCGACATGAAGCTGCTGCAGCCCTCCAGCCCCGAGAGCCACTACGAGACCTTACGGCACCTCTACCAGGGCTGCCAGGTGGTGCAGGGCAACCTGGAGCTCACCTACCTGCCCCCCGGCGCCGACACCGCCTTCCTCAAGGTGCGAGAATTCGGGGACGCGTGGCACCGGGAAGGAAGGGGGGTCCCGGGGGTCTCACCGCCGTTCTACCCCATCTCCCCCTCCCCGCAGGACATCAAGGAGGTGCAGGGCTACGTGCTGATCGCTGAGAACCACGTGAGCGCCGTGGGGCTGCAGGGGCTGCGCATCATCCGCGGGACGCAGCTCTTCCAGGAGCGCTATGCGTTGGCCGTGCTGGGCAATGTGGGGCTGCGGCAGCTCGGCATGCGGCAGCTCACAGGTAGGGGGCGTAAGGGGGGGGGAGGAGATGGATGGGGGGTCGCTGCGTGGGAGCTGCAGGTCCACGAGTAGGGCTGGGGTAAAGAATCACCGCGCGGTTTGGGTTGCAAGACCCCAAAATCCATCCATCCATCCCCAGCCCATGTCCCCTCCCACAGCTCACCGTGCTGGACCTGAGCGCTGCCAGGGATGGGGGCACCCACAGCTGCTCTGTGCCCACATAGCAATGAATTTCTTCCCGATGTCTAACCTAAATCTCCCCTCTTTTAGCTTAAGACCATTCCCCGTTGTCCATCCCTACGCCCCCAGTAGAACTCACACCTCCCCAGATTTTATGCAGCCCCTTCCGTCTCTGGGTGGTGACTCCAAGCCCCTGTGCGGGGCTGGGTGTCCCCGTGGGGCCATCCCCCCATGCTGATGGCAGCTCTTGTCCCCCCCCCCCCACGCAGAGATCCTGAAGGGGGGGGGTGCACATTGAGGGGAACCCCCAGCTCTGCTTCCAGGAGACCATCCTCTGGGCCGACATCTTCCACCGGCACAACGAGCTGCGCAGTGAGACCCATGTGGAGAGCATCCGCAGCCGCACCTGTGAGCAGCCCCAGGGCTGGGGAGGGGGTATGGGGGGGGGGGCTGAGAGGTGGGTGGGTTGGGGGATGCTACCCACCCCCCAGCTCCCTATTGATGCCATCTGTCCGCCTGCAGGTCCCGACTGCAAGGCACTGTGTGCTGAGGGGCACTGCTGGGGCGACAGCCCCCAGGATTGCCAGACCCGTGAGTATAGGGCTGCCTGGACCCCCCCTCCCACCCTATAGATACCCCCCAAACCATTGGGCACTCCCATATCCCTGCTCCATTCACCCCGTGTAGCACCCAGATCCCTGCCCTGGGGACCCACACTGGTGCCCCCCAATCACCACGCTGCAGACCTTCCCCTTGTCCCCAAAACCCTGCTCCGCAGATGCCCAGAATCCCTTCCCCATACACCTTCGGAATGCCACCTACTCCGCAGCTCCTCACCCCTCTCCCCAGTCTCTCTCCCTTTGGAGGAGGGATCCCCATGGCACTGTGCCCCCCTTTTCCCCCCCCAGTGACCAACAGTATCTGCCACGGGTGCCCACGCTGCAAGGGCACGAAGCCGACGGACTGCTGCCACGAGCAGTGCGCTGCGGGCTGCACCGGCCCCAAGCACTCCGACTGCCTGGTGGGCAAGGGATGGGGGGGTGGGCAGGGGATTCCCCCAAACACAGGGGCTGATGGCTGGACCACCCCCCCACCTTCCCCATCAGGCCTGTCTG